CCCCTGAGGACGGAGGGAAGACGTACGAAGCAGGCCAGTCTGGCACAAATGGACTAATGACATCTTCGACACCAGCCCATTTTGCATGAAACCGTCTCCGGTTTGGGGACGCTCGCCCCTTTGTTACCGCTCCGAATCCTCTGACAATCCTGCTCCGTTTCCTCCGGTGCGGGGCCGTCGGAATCCACACCGCAACAATCCACAGCGACTTCATCCCGGATGGAGGAGAGAAGCTGGAGGGCGAGGACAGAACGCACGGGAATCATCCACCAGCCACCCCCCCCCCTCCACCCCGAGAGAGAAACAGCTGGGAGACGATGAGCCCTTCTCACGGTGACAGGGAAGACCTAGAACCTTGTGGCTACCCAGTGGCAGGGTACGGGGCTGGGCTCAGCTGGGCGGCCTGGGGGCCCAGACGCAGCGGGGCTCCCCCCGCCCCCGCAGGTGCAGAGCAGCCGCCCCACGTGGCGCAGTGCGCGCCCTGCGCATCGCGCCCCTCCAGCCCCGGGCCTCCAAAGTGACAGGTCCCTGTGGCCGCTGCTGCTGCAGGGCTCGTCCCCACTGCGGGGGCAGGGGGGGGGGGTTGGTCACCGACGCACACGCGAGCGGGCCAGCCGACAGAATGGCAGAGAGAGGATCCCGGCCAGTAAAGGGACGGACTTTCTATCCTACTTCGAGACCAACGCTGGAGGAGCGCAGGGGGCAGCGGAGAGAATTCGGGCGACAGAAAAGAGAACAGAAGGGCCTGGGCTGAGCGGCTCTTCCATCCTGGCGGCCCAAACTTTGTCTTTGAACTTTGGGGAGCGGAGAAACGTTCCTGGAGTCCAAACTCAGGTGCCACCAGCACTGGTCGCCGCTCCAGTGACAACCACTATTAACAGCCCCGATGTGTCTCCCACGGGCAAGTGTGTAGGGATTTGCACCCGCGTTGGCTTCCTGCTCGCAAACCCCGCGGTCTCAGACCTCCCTCTGTACATCCGCTTCGCTCTGCGCTGGAAATCCCTCACGAGGTCATCGCTCTCCAGATGACCCAGATCACCAGCGAGGAACCGACGTGAGCGGCTCGTGTGACTCGAAGAAAATAGGACTTGAAGAAAACGAACCTGAATCAGACCTCTCCAGGTAGGGGACCCTGCAGTGGGAAAGTTCCCATGTCCTCTGCCTCCTGCGATGACCCCACTTACAACTCAACCCCCCCGGGCCCCCCCCCCCCCCAGCCTGGCCTGTGTCTAGACCCACTTCCTGCTGTGACGCGGTACCCGGGTGACCCTCCCAGACCCGCCGAAAACAAAACTACTTCCTCTCCCAGACCGTCAGGTTGACTGATGGCAAACAGGTACCTCCGGCCCCTTTGCTGCTGGATTCCTGCCCCGTTCCCGGGGTGCACCCCACCTTTGTGTCCAAAATGGAAGCATTTTCATTCTCCTGAAATTGGCTTCAGCCTCTGATTGCAGTCCCAAACCTGCTCTTTGTGAAGGGGACCGTGGGGGTAACACGTCTTCCTAACGTCTCTGTTAACTGGATTCATTTTGTTCTTAAAACAGCGATGTCGATTGACATCTTGCACACGGGAAAATAAAGTCACGTTGAACCCCCACGTTGGGGTCTTCCGATGGGGAGAGGAAAGTCCCACCGATCACCCTGCTGGACCAATTCCTTGCCTCGGACCTCAAAACCGAGGCCCACTTCCTCCTCCGATGTCTGCATTACGGAATGCCTTTTCTCCACGCACAGGGCAGTGGTTCCTTGGGACCTCTCTCCATAGAATTCAATATGAGATCAGATTTGAAAGAGTTTCACACCCAAGGGCCTTGGGGTCAATGCCATCTAGCATCTAGGGACGCACTCTGACCCCCCCCCCCCCCAACAGCATGCAGTAGGCCCTCAAATGAAGATTTGCCGGATGCGTAAAGGTGTCCAACTCCAACAGAGTTACTGGAGAGTACTTCTGGCTAGACCCTCACGATAATGCCCTGACCTCCCGGCCTCCCGGCCTTCGCGCTCAGTTTAGTGCTGCCCCCTGTTGGAGTGTTACTGAAATGCAAATTCAGACACAGCCCAGACTAAATTCACTTACCAGCAAACTTAGCTACAGAGACTGTCCAAATGCTTTATCCTGACATCCAAAGCCATTCGTGAGGAGGGCTGGCCCGTCGAACACCTTCACTCCTGGCATTTTTTCCCGTGCACGCTCGAGCAAAAGTAAGTCCTTCCTAATTTGCCTTCAAGCCCTGTTGTTTCATTCTTCAGGGACTTGGCAGATTCTCTCGGGTTAAAGCAGACGAACGGCTTCTCATCCTCAAAACGGCTGTGAGCACCTCCTTGAGTGGATGTGCACAGAGAAAGAGAACGACGAATTGAGAAAGCTCAGATTTTTCTTCCCCTTCTGGCCTGATTTGACAGGCAGTGCCCGGAAAGAAGCCCAGATTTTCTTCCGAATGGAAGAAAACCCAGCTTCCGATCAAAGCCTTAGATCCAGTTTTGGGGGGGGGGGGTAGGCCATGACAGCGGTAGATCCCAGACCGCCACACTCAGATTCCCACTGAGGGCGTCACAGTCACAACCTGAGCAGTAACCGCTACATGATCACGGCCGGCCACTAGCAAAAGCTGGTCACTTCCATTTCTTACAAATTAATCGTGGCAACTGCCTCTTCCTTAAGCCACTAAGAGCTCCAAAAGGGGTGCTGTGATTGCCCAGCAGAAACGAGTATTCAAAAACGCCACGGGTGACGCGTTCTTGCCTCCTTTCGGCTGTGTGCAATTATCTCGTCCGTTCCGGGAAACCAGAGGGCCCCCCAGCGAGCATGTGGCCTCAGTTTGAGAATGGTTTCTCCTCGAATTGACCCTATGAAAGAGTACAAGACAGAGGGAAACTGTCCCCTCCATGTCACCAATGTCTGAACAGGCGATAGCTGGGACCAGCATCGTCCTAGACACCGCCAGGATCTAGACCGTCAACTTTTCAAGAAGCCTTTACCCTAGAGGAAGTATGGGAAGTGTAACAGCAATTTCACATACTTTCCGGTACAGAATTAAAAAAAAAAAAAAAAGATGAAGAGAGAGACAGGTGGGGCACTGATGCAGTTAGAGAGGTCGGGGAAGGGCTCTCTAAGGCCGTGACATTTGAGTAATGGTCTCCGTGATGCAAAAGAGTCAAGTCTGGACACAGAAGAATGGAGAGGCTGACAGCTGGGGTGGGGACCTCTCTGGCCCTTGTTGCCAGAACTTTATGCTGGGCTCTTGGTGTATCTAAGGCTTCGGCTCAAGGTGAAGAAGAGGAAAGGCCGTCAGCGTGGGATGAGATGCAGGGACGTCCCACGGGCCAGCCCCCTAGGAGTCATGACCTTCCCGAACTCACCCTTGCCGGAACTCTCGCTAGATCTGACACCTGCTGCGGAAGCAATTACCCTACAGGATTTTCTGCTGGGCATTTGCTGTGTGACTGGGTCAACCTGCCGCTGACTGGGTCCCTTGACAGATAGCTAGCTGTCTTGGGGCACAGAGGTGGCCTTGGAAAAGGTTCTCATTGGTTCCGCTTGTGACCTAGCAGGCGATCCCCAGGAATTCGCCCCGGGTGTCATCAAAACGTGGGAGCACGACGGTAGGGGTGAGGCCCAGGCACCTTTAGCCGCCTGCCGCCACGCACCGCCTGTTCCCGACGTGCCTGCGGGCGTTTTCTCTGACAACCCTGGGTCACAGCCTTCGTTTCCGTCACTCTGATCTCAGGGCCGCCCGGTGCAGAGGCCTCCGATCCACACTCGCCTCCATCTGACATCGGGCGTCATCCTTCTCCCTTTCCTTCCCGGGCTAAATAAACCTTCACGCGAATCTCAGTCGCGGGGAGCAGGGGTCCCTTCCCGCCGCCCCCGAAATCCCTTTCTTCGGGCCCGGAGAACCAGGAGTGGCCGTCGGCGCATCCCCGGGCTCGGACGCCCCTCGCGGCCTGCCTGCGACCGCCTTCCGTCCCGCGGACCGCGGCCTGTCGGGCTTCTCCCCCTCCCCGTCCCGTCTGCGCCGAGAAAGAAGAAACAAAAAATTCAGAGTCCGTTATTACCTCCGTTTGAACTTGCCGTGCAGGTCAGAAGCCCCGCGGTTGCCCCGGGGCGTGGAGGTCGCCGCCGCCGGCAGGGGGAGGACGGCGCGGGAGGGGGGGGAGAGGGCGGGCTCGCGTCCCCCCAGCCCCGTCTCGGGCGCAGTGCGGCTGCGGGGACCCCGCTGTCCCCGCCCGGCCGCCCCGAGGCACTTCGTCGTTCACTCCAGTAATGAAACAGGCCTCCCCCTCCCCCCAGGGCGTTCCTACGGCCGCGCCTGCGCTCCCCTCCCCCATTCCCCCCACCTCCCCCCGGTACCCTCCGCGCCCGCATCCCCCCAGGAGCAGTTTGGCGCCTACGTTCCGCGGCGGTCGTGCTTCTCCGCCCTTCCGTGGGGCACATTCGGGGTCTGGCTGTTCGTCTGCAGTACCGACCGGGACCGCCAGGCGGCGCACGTTTACCCGGGCAAAGGCGCATCCCGGAACAGAGGCGAGGCGCCCCCACGCGGGGTTTCCGTGGTGCAGCGGTCATCACGCTCGCCTCACACGCGAGAGGTCCCCGGTTCGAGGCCGGGCGGGAACAGCGTGCGCCTTTTTGCCTCCTGACCCGGGGCCATCCCGCCGCCCCCTCCGGAGGCCGCCTCGGCGCGGGCGTGGGGGGGTCCCGTCCCGGGGGACTCCCTCCCGACCCGAAAGGGCGCGCTTCTGTCCCGGAGAGCGCGCGACGGGAGGCTCTGGCGGCACCAGATCTTTTGGCGACTCTGTCCCCCTCCGCCCCCCGCGGAGGGACCGGTGACCGCCGCGCCCCGGGCCTGGCGGGTCTCGAGAAGATGCGCGCTCAGCTGAATCCACGTTCCGCGTCCATGAACTTGACCCGCCCGGTACTCTGGGTCCCCGAGGACGGGGAATAATGGAGACCACGCATCTCCTTATTAAAGAAAACCTGGAGGGACCCACGGCACGTGTCTGGGGAATTAGCTCAGGTGGTAGAGCGCTCGCTTAGCATGTGAGAGGTGGTGGGATCGATACCCACATTCTCCAATTTTGGCCTCGGCCCCACGTGGACTGCTAGGTTGTAAAATCTGTGACCCTGAAGGGCCAGGCACAGCCAGTCGCTGTTTTTCTCCGTTGTCCCTTGCAGCCCTGCCCTAAGTGCAACACGGCTCAGGGACGTGCAACGCGCGTAAACCAGATTCAGAGAGTCCAGTAAACCCAAGAGGGATAAATCCAAAGAAAATCACACCCGAGCACATCACAGTCAAACCGCTGGAGATGAAAGAAAAGCACGTGAAAGCTGCCAGGGGAAAACGAAACCACAATCTGCATGTTTGTGGAATTCTTATCAGAAACCATAGAAGCTAGAGAGACAGGGAAGGATGTTTTTCTAAATGCTAAAAGAAAATAATTGTTAAGCTGAAATTTTATCTGTAACAAAAATATCCTTCAGACAGGAAGGTGAGATAAATACACTTCTCACTTGAAAGAGGACCGAGAAAATCCACTGGTATCAGAACAGCTTTAAAAACAAACAAACAAACAAACAAACAAACAAAAACTGGACTGAAGAGAATTGACAGGGAATTTGGAGCATCGGCAGCAAAGGAAGGGGTGCCGGAGTGGCTCAGTCGGTAGAGCATCTGGCCCTTGATGTCAGGATCGTGAGTTCAAGCTCCATATTAGACACGGGACCCACTAAAAAATAGGTGAAGGGATAATTTCTCAGCAGAAAAGCGAGTATGATAGACGGATATTCTCTGGAGCTCTTCAAAGTCCTTTTTATAATTTTTTAAGTAAGCTCCTGATAACCGAAAGCAAAAAATTATAACACTGATTAATTTTCATTTCATCTAAATATACTATATTCACGACACAAATGGGTTAGAGTTAAGGGATCTAAAAGGTGATAAGGTTTCTAGGTTCGACCTGAATGGTATGACATTGATTCTAAAATAGACTGCAAAATGTTAAGTATGTATAGGGTAATACATGTGCGAATTGCTATTGTTAATAACCTAGATAATGGCTACATACCTATACAAATAGGTATAGTAAAACACACACACACACACACACACACACACACACACACACACTAACACAAAAGACAAATTAATAGTGTGTTTCTAAGAGTCAAAAGGAAGTAAGAAGACAGAAAAAGGAGAATGAAGCACAGAATGAACAAAGTAAAAATCACAGACCTATACACAAACATATCCTTAATAACATTAAACGTAACTGGTCTAAACACAGCAGTTACATACTAGAGATGGTCAGAATGTATGAAAAATAAACCATGGCCCAAACATGTGCTGATTACAAGAAACTCACCTCAAATATAATGGCTTCGGTAGAGTAAAAGAATGGGGAAAATTAAGCCACTAAGGAAAAAAAAAAGTGAATTGGATATGTTTATATCCGACAAAGTAGATTTCAAAGCAAAGAAACTTTCCACATATAAAGAGAGAGGTGGTGTGATTATTTGGTGTCTGTTCACCCAAGAGATGGAACTTCTAAAGGTGTATGCATCTGGCCACAGATCTCCCAAACTCAAACAAAAGTTAATAAACCTAAAAAGAAAATCAAACCAAAAACTCCACAGGTGTTAACACTTGTCTCTATCAGTTGATACATCTAGTAGGTAACAAATCAGCAAATACGTTGAAGAACTGAACACCAGCATCCACCGATTGACCTTATAGAGCAAAGTTACAACGTAGGTAAGGAAGAAGAAGCAAAGATTGGGAGAAGAGGAAGATCGTACCAAAACTAGAAAACCAAGAATGGTCAGTGTGCAGAAGAGTGACGTTACTAAAATTGATACTTTAGGAGTTTACAGAGTTATCTATCTGTAAATGCCCGGGGGCGGGGAGAAAGTGGTGAAACTGGGAATTGGATAATTTCCTTCCCATCTCTTGTGGGCTGGGGTCGCCAGATTCCTTCTGGAGCTCCTGAGCTGAGTACCATGCCCAGCCAAGAGCATCTCCCCAGCGAATAAGTCCTGAATTAATGGAAGAGAAGTGATAGATGCAAAAGAATTGCACAAGAACAAAGTTCGGTAATTATCAAGTCCCCGGATGTGGGAGTTGGAGGAGGAGAATGAGTGAAAACTGACTTGGAAGTCTAAGCCCAAAGGAAGGCAAGCAGAGGGCTAGACGGGCTACTGCGGACAACAGAGGCGTCTTGAGTTGGAGCAGAGAAAGAGCTCCCACGGTGCAGTCTAACACATCTTCTCAATTCGGGTTTTGCCACTGAGCAGCTCTGGGAAATTAGGAGCAATACTGAATTTATCTGAACCTCCATTATATCTGGGAAGTGCAGATTTTGATAAATAGTTGTGTTGCCCGAATCCTACTGGACTCTGAGATAAGCTCCACAAATCTCTCTATAATTACTGGTGTGTCACAAAGCAAAGCAAAGAAAAAGGCTTTTACTACGTTTGGTTTGTGCTTTTCGCAGGGAGGATGCCTCCAGTCAGGTAGATGTCAGGGGAGGTAAAACAGAGGAAGACAGAGAAGTACGGGCTATAGACAGATGTGAGGATTATTTACTCACTTATATTCATTCATTTAGTCCTCCAGGCTGTGAACTCCTCTTAAATAAGCACCTCGTATGTTGGTTTCCAACAAAGGAGACCTTGGAAGGCGTAAGATCGCCTGAGATCTCCGAGGGCAGGAACAACCACATCACTGGAACCCCGGAGCAGCAAAAGCCAGGCATTACTGTCCCCAGTCCTGCAGCCCCGATGGACCTAGCCTTGGGCAGATTCCCGGAAAAGCCTGGACTTCACGGATCTTGGGCGTAAATTCCTTCGGGTGCGGCATTGGCTTATACGGAGTGATTTTCAAGTAGCATCGATTGTATTTCTTGAAAGCTGGAAACCAATAAAGCAGCGGTGCTTGGAAAATATTTGATATTTTACTTTAAATGTGAGCAGCCCCTGCAAGCTGCCCTCTTAGCGCAGCCGGCAGCGCGTCAGTCTCATAATCTGAAGGTCCTGAGTTCGAGCCTCAGAGAGGGCAAGCTGGGTCTCTTTTTTTTCTTCACGTTTGGCCAGAACCTAAGATTACTTTGATTTTTTTTTTTTAAAGAAAGAAAGAACACAAAGTAAAATTATCAAGTGGCTCCTGATAAGGATTTTTTTTTTCAAGACTGACTCAGTACTTGCTGAGGACAGTGAAATCAGTTTGGTAGTTCGTTGGGCTTCCCAGGAGTTTCAGGAAAATGAACGCTGGAGAAACTCAGATTGTGCCAGAAACTACAAGCTATACTGTGTTGTTGGTCTTCTTCTCTGTCTTATGCAAGAAGCAGGGGAAATTTCTCTTCCAACTCCCCGCTCTGAAGGTCCCCCAAGTGCAATTAAGGGGTGAGAGAAGTGTAAAATCCTTTTTGACTCTTTTAATCCTTCAATAAATATTTCTAGAGCACATCTAGCTGATCAATGGGCAGTTCTGGGGGCAGTAATTAAAGAGTGTAACAATGCAAAAACTCCCTCCCTCCCGGAGCTGCATCCCTGTGCGGGGGGGGGGGGGGGGAGAGGAACAGACAAGAAGCAAATAGGAAAAATGAAGGATGACCCAGTGACAACGTTTACTGTGGGGGGATCGGTCGACAGTAAAGGGGGACGGGAGCGTGGAGGTGGTTCGTTCAGCTTTCTGGGAAAGAGAAGAGTTAGCACCTTGAAGATACTTTTCAGTCTCTCCTTCTTGCTTGTTGAGATCCTTGTGCCTTAGTTCTTCTAACACTGTCACTAGCGTAATTTTTAGCCATCAAGGCGACTGGGGGGGGGGGGCGCGGTAGGAGAGCTATTTGCAGGTTGAGGTTAGAATTCACCACCAGGGTTCTCGTCTCGGACAGAACAGCCTTTCTTCTACGTGGAAAACGTAGCTCCTGGGGAAGGGAAGAGCCCGTGAGGGCTTGAGAAACGGATTGTTCTCTGGGCAAAGCAGGAGGCCGGGCTGCGGGACGTAACGTGCGCAGGTAGCAGGGTCCCGGTCCCCTGAGGAGCGCGGGACGTCGGGATGGTGAAGCAGCGGACCCGACTCAAATGTCCGTGGTGGAGAGAAACCTTCTCGATTTCATTCCGCGCTTTGCCGGGCACGTGCATCGGAGTTGTTACCTACTGAGTTCAGGCGAGGAAGGGAGAAAAGAAACACGTGGTTTCTTCCACGATGCAGAAAAGCCTTTTCCCATGATTTCTGACTCCACGTCTCGAACATCCCTGACAGATAATTAGGATGAAAAGAGATTCTGACGCCTGGAGCATCGGTGTTGATCTTTCCTGACCATTTCTTGACTTCTCTAAAATGAAATGCTGAGTAAAAGCCAGTTTCGATGTCCTCTTACAAATTCTTCCTCTTCGCCCTCGCCCTCCCTTATCCTTGTCCCCGGATCCTAGGGTCTCCTTATGCCAATCCTATCTTTCTCTGGGAGTTAGGGAGAGGGATCAAGCCCGACCCAGTGACCGGGGCCACGCTGGGAGGGGCTGGAGGTGCATATGTGAGGCCCAGGGGTCCCCCACGTTCTCCTCCTGGGTGGCCATATCTCCAAATCGGGTGCCAATCGCAGCCCTGCTTTTACAGGGAGATACACAACTTCTGGGACAGCCCTGTCATTTCAACGGGGCACCCCACCCGGCTGGGACCTTTCATTTGCCTTCTGGCTGCCGTTCAAGATAGTGAAAGCGTTACGGAGCTAGAGCACTGTCATGGCGACCAACGGCAGGTCTCCCTTTGCCCCACAGTCCCCGACAGAAACATCAGTTTCGGTGCTTTTGCTGAAGTCATATTTGAGACGCTCTGCCCTCGGTCGGGTCGTCTTCAATGGGTAGTGACGCAACCCCACACACCCGGTGAGATCCACACAATGGGCTGGGGCACGTGCCCGGAAGGACCACAGGTCAAAAAGAGGCTTCGAGCATGAGAATTGGGTCAGATGTTAGAATGCCCTTCTTTGCAGTGAGAGTCGTGGGAAAGACCCCTGTTTTCTCCAGCAACGATTCTTCCTTCTTTCTTAATAGGCTCCTGCGGTCCCTAGGGTTTCTC